TCATTATTTCTATTTTTTTCTTGCAATGCTGTGAACATTTTCCCTTTATAAATTTAATTGCTACGTTACTTGGTGCATATGTATATTCAGAATTGATAAACTAATTTTCAGTCATGCCTTTAGCAAATTATAATTTCCTTGTTTACCTCTTATAATGCTCTTTGGTTTGAATTAGACTTTGTCCAATATCATCACTGTAACTACAGATTTCAGCCAATGCTAACATAATAAATTTTAGTCTAACCTTTATTTAAATCTACACCTATGTTAGCAATAAATGTTTTCTATGAATAACATTTATTTTTTAATTCAGTCTATAATCTTTTTAAACAATTTTATAGATGGGGGAGGGTCAGCCAATTTATATTTAATCAGAATCATCTGTATCAAATAATAACAACCATAGTAATAGCTAGCATTTAAATAGAATTCTAAGGTTTGAAGGTACTTTGCATATGTTATTTCTTTTTATCTTCACAATAATTCTATGAAGTAGGTACTATTATTTTATTTTGCCTTCCAAACTCCCTCCTTCCTTCCAGCCCCTCCTCCACCCATTAGGTAGGAGCTATAGTTATCCCCATTTTTTCTGTTGATGAAACTGAGGCACAGAGAAATTATCCTTAATTTATCCATAGTCCCTCAACTATTTGAATGCCTAAGGCAGGATCTGAACTCAGGTCTTCCTAACTCCAAGTCCGGCATTCTAACCACTATACCACCTAGCAACAAACATCGTCTATAGAACTTCCTACATTTTCTACCCAATTGGTGTTAACATAGTCTGCATTCCAAGTACTTGAAGCAAAAAGAATCAAGAATGGGATGAGACACTAATGAAGAAACTAGAACCAGCTGGGTCTGGCCTGGAAGCATTCCGAGAAGAATTCTCAATTTAGGGCTGCAAGTTGCATCTAGGCCAACCTAACATTTTATAAAGGAGGAAGCTGAGGTCCAGGAAGTGACATGATTTTCCCAAGCTCACATAAGCACTAAATAAATAGCAGAGACAGAACTGAAGCTAAATTCTCCAGGCACCAAATACAATGTATCTTTCTGCTATCCAGGAGACAAAGAGCCTCTTGAATTGTGGGCTTCTCTCAAAATTACTTTGTGAAGAATATGCCTACCACATGCCTAGATGAGCTTAGAAATTTTTAAAGGATCATCTCAAATTATAATCTTTTTTTTTAAAGAAAATAGTAGATTTCTTGAGAAACTTTAGACCAATGCACCAGGAATTTTGACTCCTGTGAGAAGTACATTATGGGAAAATACTTAATGTCCATAGCAGCAGAGTTCAGAGGTCCTGAATGGTATGCTACAGTTCTACTAAAAAACCAATCTTTATATGCCTCCAAAATATTCCTTCCTCTTCTGACATGGCACCTCTACATGGTAGAGAAGTCAGCATCAGAGAAACCATGGAAGACTTGTATAAACTGATGCAAAGTGAAATGAACAAAATTGGAATGATAGTTTACATAATGACATTACACCTCTATTCCAAAGGAGAACACTATGACTACTTTTGAAAATTCTTTCCCAGATTTCTGAACTTGGCAAAAAGTTTCTTACTACTTTTGCTTTCAGATCAGAGTGAAATTTGTAGCTCTTTCTGGAGCAATCAGAATCAGTTGTAATGGTTTAAGTGACCATGGGAACAAAAACTTTTTAGGAATTCTTTGAAAAATGAAAATTAAGTTTTATTATGAGTCTCTATCAGAGGATATCACAGCATAGGAGTTAATATCTAAACTGTCTAGCCAAAATTTTCATGTTCCATATCCTGAGGATCTTTCCATAATTCCCAGCTTGCTTGACCAAGATTAATGATAGCTATTTTTAGTCAGTTTTGAGATACAAGAATTTTACTCTCTGTTCTCCAAAGTATTTGCTTAGGGAAAAAAATTAAGTGACCAGGATTAGAACACTTCACTATGCTTTCTAACCAGGGATACGCTGGTAAATGTTTAATGCAGCTCTGCAGAGGAAACTAATATACAGGACACACTTTTTAAAAGTTTTTATATATTTTTCCCAATTAAATGTAAAAACAATTTTTAACATTCATTTTTTAAAATTTTGAGTTCCAAATTCTCTCCCTCACCCTCTGCTCCCCCCTCCTTCAGAAGGCAATTTGATATAGATTATACATGTTCAGTCATGCAAAACATATTTCTGTATTAGCCATGTTTCAAAAGAAAACACAGACAAAAAAAAGACCAACAAGAAAAAAATAGCATGCTTTGATCTGCATTCAGACTCCATCAGTTCTTTCTCTGGAGGTGGATAGCATTTTTCATCATCAGTCTTTCAAAATTGTCTTGGATCATTGTATTGCTGAGAACAGCTAAGCCATTCACAGTTGATCGTAGTTGATCAGTATTGCTGTTACTGCTCTTCTGGTTCTGTTCAATTCACTTTGCATCATTTCATGTTTTTCTGAGAGCATCCTGCTCATCATTTCTTATAGTACAGCAGCGTTCCTTCACAATCACATACCACAATTTGTTCAGTTATTCCCCTCATAAGCATCCCCTCAATTTCCAATTCTTTGCTACCATGCAAAAACAGCTGCTAGAAATATTTTTGTCCATATACATCCTTTTCCTTTTCTAAAAGATCTTTTTGGGATACATACTAGTAGTGGCATTTCTAGGTCAAAGGGTATGCACAGTTTTATAACCCTTTGGGCATAGTTCCAAATAGTTTTCCAGAATGGTTGGATCAGTTCACAACTCCACCAACAGTACATTAGCAGGACACACTTTTAAATCTCATCTGTATCATTAACATTTTCTCCCATTTTTTTTAAGTCTAGACAATAAACAAAAGAACAAATCAAGTCCTGATTTGTCCTATTTGAAGATTTCTGGGTGTGAAATGGTCACTCTGAAAATCAGCAGTCAGCTTTTAGGAGCCAGTTTAAGGGGGCTTGAAGTTCTAAATGAAGGTTCACGAAGTTCTAAAATGATGCCAACTGACTCCATGTTTCTTTCCAACTTTACGACAAGATGTTCTCTTCCTCACTTGCCATCTTACAAGGCTAATTTATTTTATTTTATTTTTTTTGCTTTTGTATCTCCTTCTTATAGCACACTGCGGCTGGGGATGAGGGTGGTGGACAGTCACTGGTATCTCCTGGCAGCTGTCTAGAAGACTTCAGAGCCACACCTTTCATTGAATGCAATGGGGGCCGAGGAACCTGCCACTACTTTGCCAACAAATACAGCTTTTGGCTCACCACCATTCCAGAGCAGAACTTCCAGGCCTCCCCCTCTGCAGATACTCTCAAGGCGGGGCTCATCCGAACTCACATCAGTCGTTGCCAGGTCTGCATGAAGAACCTATAACCCTTTCCCAGGAGGCCTGGTGAAGAAAGAGAGCAACATGCTTCTTTGTTGCCTTGACATTGCCAAAGAGAGTCAATTTTGGTGCTTAACTTATTACCTCAGATGCTGAACAGGTTGATTTTTTTTTAAAACTAAAGGAATTTGGCACCAGCACTTACACCAGTCATTTCTCGAATATTAAATAGACTCTTGCCTGTCTAACTTTATCCCCATTTCAAAATAAACCCTCATCTTTTTTCTAACACTCTGACCCTTCAAACCAAGTAACCACTAATAGATGAACTACTACCAAACATGTCACACTGGGTAAGCAGATAACACTATGTTGAGCTAATTCAATAATGTGTTTTATATACTTACACATACACACATCATACTTTCCATTGCAGCAGAATATTAATAAAGTTGTGCTCACTTAATGGCATCATGCAAGGTGGAGCAAGAAAATGAAAATCCATGGTCTGAATTGGTAGAAACTCCCAGGAAGATACAGTCTGTCCTCCCACATTACTACAACCTGGTCATTGCAGAGTAGGAATGTCAGTGTCTTTGACCTATGAGCTTACTTACTTTTTGGCCTTTTGGACTGAAAAATCACACTGTGCAGTATTTTCTAGCCAACATGATAGCTTTATAAAAATATTTCTCTTTATACTCAAATTCTAAATACATTCTTTTCACACAGAAAATATTTAAGTTGCCTATATGTACCTGCACCAGGGTGAACAGTGCTTTTTTAAAAGTTTTTGCCAATTTTCATGTAACTTATCAATAGTTCTTCTTACCACATAAACATAAAATTGGGCAATAGAAAATCATAAGGCTACAAAATTAAAAGAGACATCTTAACTACCAGTTAGTCTAACTCACTTATTTTACACTTGTGAAAACTGAGGCCTAGAAAGGCAAACTGACTTTTTTTAAGGCCACACAACAGAGCCAAGATTGGAATCCAGAACTTTGACTAATGTTTCAGTAGTCTTTCTTCCATACTCTCTCCACTTGGAGATATGTTTATGACCAACAATATCTTTTGGAAGGATGAGCTTCTACAGTTTTAATTTGTGTCTTCCACTACCACAAGTTATCATGAAAATGTTGTTTCATTCCTTTTAGTAATTTGTGCTTTTTATGATTGTTCTACCTTGGCTGTAACTATAACAAAATAAAAGTGTTCCTGATTTATTTTCTAAATCCTAAATTGTTGGCTGTGTTTGATTTTCTGATATTTGTAGATCAAAAAATTTACATAAATACATGGAGCATAGTACATTTGATATTTTAAGAGACTGGTGAGCCTATAAACAAGCTCCTATGCTTACTAAGAAAACTCTCTCTCTCTCTCTCTCTCTCTCTCTCTCTCTCTCTCTCTCTCTCTCTCTCTCTCTCTCTCTCTCTCTTTCTCTCTCTTGCTTTTGCTTTGATGCCCAATATACATCCAAGCTTAGACTATCTTGTATACCTCTGGGCCACAGTTTTCTTTCCCCTTTTAAAACTAGTCAATTCCACTATAGTACCATTCACAAAAATGTGTGTGTGAGAGAGAGAGAGAGAGAGAGAGAGAGAGAGAGAGAGAGAGAGAGAGATTAAAAGAGAAAAACTGAGACAGACTGAGATGCAGAAAGATTGAGACAGAATGAAAGAAAAATTGAGAGATTAAGAGACAAAAATTGGAAGGCATAGAGAGGTTGAGAAAGATATAGAGATAGATAAGACTGAGACAAACTGAGAGACAGGGACAAAGAGAAGGGGGAAGGGCTTGTTAAAATTTGTTGCTTGTTAGAATTTGTGAGAAATGTTCTAACCATTACTAATGTGGATTTTTTTGGGGGAAAGCATAATATTCTGCCAAACTATTAGCACAAGGGTGGGGGACCCGTGGCCACGAGAACACATGTGGCCTTCTAGGTCCTTGAATGCGGCCTTCTGACTGAGTCCAAGTTTTACAGAACAAATAATTTTGTCAAGGGGAATGTATTCTGTGCAGTTTGGATTCGGTCAAAGGGCCTCATTTGAGGACCTAGAGAGCCAAATGTGGCCTTGAGGCCACAGCTTCCCCACCCCCGTATTAGCACCAGGATTGTCTCTTATACATAGCTCTGGCCTATAGCAATGGAAAGTCATTAATTAATCCCTTTACTATACACATGAAATTAATGTAAACCTAAAATCGGATAACATCAGATAACATCCCATTGGAGGGAATACAAGAGTCTGAAAAAGTACAAACAGAGTAGTTGTTTCTGCAGAGAACACCATGACAAGTTTTTTATTTTTCCTTTTTTTAAGTTTTAGTGATGCATTACTGCTGTTTTTAAATGTTGCTTCTTTCATCATACCTCCTACCAAACCAAGGAAGGAAAAAAAAAGAGCCTTCATTGAAATACTCACCCAGGCACACAGCCCTAATGATAGCTTCTTTTGGTCCTGATGCTTTGAAATACTTTCAAAGAACATGTTATCTTCAGCCTCTAAAAGAAAACTTAATGTTAAATCTCTTCAAAGAAAAAAATCTATTTGGAGAAATAAATAAGGGAATTGACTGAGCTTCTTTGCCATTATATTTTGAATTGATGGAGCAATGCTCCAAAGGATCCCATCAAAAACAATATTTGCTCCTAATTTCCCCTAAAGCTAAAGTAGGCACAAAAAAAATTTGGTTGAACATTTTTGCCTGTCTGGTTCTTAGATTTTTGATGTCTGTTTGTGGTCCAGCTCTTAGCGAATTTCCTGGCTCATAGTAGGTGCTTAATAAATGCTTGTTAATTTGACTTGGTTTATAGTTAATGGGAAGAGTGCTCCATTCCAAAAAGCAGTCTCCCCCTTAAAGCTTGAATTCATAAGGTCAAAAGCACAAGATCAAGATTATGCTTGAACTTCTATTAGACAAAAGAGTTGGACTACAAAATGTAAACTTAAAACAATAAAATCCCACTGACCCAAAGTTGTAAATTTATGCTTCTTGTTTATGCAAATTTAAAATACCTGTTAGATTAGAGGTTCTCAACTTTTTTGTGTCTGTTTGATGAAGCCTATGAACCCCTTCTCAGATTAATGTTTTTAAATGCAAAAACTGCACAGGTTACAAAGGAAATTATATTGAAATACAGTAAGTAGATGGCACAGTGGGTAGAGTGCCTGGCCTGGAGTCAGGAAGACTCATCTTCCTGAATTCAAATCTGGGGCCTCAAACACTTACTAGCTATGTGACCTTGGGAAAGTCACTTTACCCTGTATGCCTCAGTTTCATCATCTGTAAAATGAGCTGGAGAAGGAATCGGCAAGCCACTCCATCATCTCTGCCAAGAAAAACCCAAATGGGGTCATGAAGAGTCAGACATAACTGAACAACAACACAGTTGTAAAAATATTTTTAAAAACAAAACAAGTTCATAAGTCCCAGATGAAGAACCCTTGTGTTAGAGGACCAAATATCCCATTAAAAACTTTGTAAGATCTGAATCTGGCCATCCAAAAGACAGGTCTTTCTGGTCCCCTATGTTTTTGAGTATATGAAGTTTTGCTAGAATAGGATCTCGACACTCAAGTAAAGCCCTGAGAATGATAGTTAACCCCACCTGAAAGCTAAGTAATTTGTGCCATGTTTACCATGGAATAAATTCACAAAGTTTCAAATCACCTCTGTCTCCCAAATCCATTTCACAAAACTAGCAATAAAGTCCACTTACTGATCCTGAACCAGGATGCAGGAGCAGCAAATATGCTAGATGATGAGAGGTATAGTAGGTATACAAAAGAAGGTACTATTGAAATGCATGTACAGGACAAGCAGGACAACTTTGAAAGTTGAATCTTAAATTTATTGTAATTGAAAAGCATGCTGTAGATAACATGGAAGCCAGATGGTGCAAGGGGATAGAGTGCCAGACCCTGAAGTCAGGAAGACTCATCTTCTTGAATACAAATCTGGCCTCAGACACTTCAGATGAGTCTTCATTACTTCAGACCCAGTACTCTATCCCCTGCACCACCTAGCTACCCAGCCTGGCACATAGTAGGCACTTAAAAATGCTTATTGACTTCACCTAACAAACCAATTGCTTATTATTTGCCATTCTGAAGATCTAAAACAGGTTGGGGCAAGAAAAAAAAAAGACTTGAGCATTGATTTCGTGGGAGTGATGAAGTCAATTTATTTTAGCAGGGGAAATACCACAAAAATATTAGAAGGAATGAGAAGGTAAATTTCTCAGGATTATAGATATAATTGGAAAGGGTCATCTAGTTGAATATCTTCATTTTACAGGGAGAAAACAGACCTAGACTTGGAAGTGACAGAGCTGACATGTGAACCCAGCTTGTCTGATTCCAAATTCAGCATCTTCCACTTTTCTATACTCCCTGAATTTGATGGATACAAAGTCTTCATCCCAGGCAAATGGTCTGCTGGGAATACTTAGGAAAACAGTCATTTGTCTCTCTGCAGACAACTATGTAGCAGTAAAGAGAAGTTCTCAGCTTGGTTCCAGTGGGAAAGAATCAGGAAAACTGCCAAGCTAAAAATATCCAGTATAAACAATCAAGTGGAGGAAAGGTTATAGAGAGTGTGATGTTGAAGGGAAAAGAGCTCTTCTGAGCATTCATTCACAGAGTAATAATCTATTGTAAGAGAGCAACCATTGATGGAGCTTCCCCTTCTGGCCCTTTTTCAGAAAGAGAGAAGCTTCTAAGAAGGAGTAAAAGAGAGAGAGAGAGAGAGAGAGAGAGAGAGAGAGAGAGAGAGAGAGAGAGAGAGAGAGAGAGAGAGAGAGAGAGAGAGAGAGAGAAAATAGACTTATTCACGCTCTGTACTATGTGACTCAAGCCAACACAAAGACATATGTTAAGAATCTGCTACACATATGATGCAAGATGTTATGGTTGTGTTCTGCCTGCTTGTGGATAGAAAGCTGGCCTTGGAGGCAAAATAAAACTGAATACAAATCCTGTCTTGGACACGTCTTGGAAAAGTCTTTTCATTTCTCGGTGCCCTAAACAACTCTTTAGATTACATAAATTGCAAATAAGTTGCTAATCTGTGTCAGAAATCTCCAGCCCAGGAATGTATTGGCACTGATAAAAATCACAGGTCTGGGCCAAAACAAGACATGCATTCTTACTGGAGATACAGAGACTGCATTGAAACTTAGCAGATGAAATTAAAATAGCTTGTAAGTATTTGGAAAGTAGGAAAAGAATGAGAGAACATATGAATTAGCCAATCAGCAAGCATTTATTAAGTTCTTAGAAGCACTATCCATACAAAAACATTAGATTGTAAGCTCCTTGAGGGCAGGGACTGGTTTTTGGCACATGTTGTCATTTCAGTTGTGTTCAACTCTTCATGACCCCCTTTGAGGATTTTTTTGGGGGCAAGGCAACTGGGGTTAAGTGATTTGCCCAGAGTCACACAGCTGATGAGTGCTATGTGTCTAAAGCTGGATTTGAACTCAGATCCTCCTGACTCCAGGGCTGATGCTGTATCCACTGCACCACCTAGCTGCCCCCTCTTTGCGGATTTTTTGGCAAAGATACTGGAATGGTTTGCCATTTCCTTCTCCAGTTCATTTTACAGATGAGGAAACTGAGACAAACATGGATAAGTGACTTGCCCGGGGTCACATAGTAAGATTTGAAGTTAGGAAGATGAGTCTTCCTGACTCCAGGCCCAACACTCTATCCTGCTAACTACTCCTTTTTTGGCACAAAGTAGGAGCTTAATAAATGTTTGTTGAGTATTGACTGACTGACTCAAATAGTTACTGCCTGCCCTCAGGGGCTCATGTCCTATCTGAAGACATAACCTAGAGTGAATGCGGATGGATATAGTACAAGTTATATGGATTTTCAAAAATTATTCAAATGAAAAGAAATGCTTTTAGGTTGACTAAAAGCTTGACTATAATAGTGAAGTCATATGTTTGCATTTATCAAAGCCTTCCCAGAGAAGGTTTTTTTTCTTTCTTTCTTAGCTCTTGTCTCTTCAAAAAGTCGTCTTTCCTCTAAACCCAACCATCCAGTGATATTAAGCATTCTGCTCACCTATCGCATTCTGTCAGGCTCACAAAAATCCAGCCAGTGTTGGAGGGGATGGCAGTAAATAACTTCTCTAAATACAGAAAATAGACTTTACTGCCAAATGCGGGGAAACCCATTACAATCCTCTTGGGGACCTGAAGCAGTGTGACCTCTACTGGAGTGGAATGACCCTCTCCAGGTTAAATGTTCTCTCAGTATACTTACAGTTAGCGCTCCTTGTACCAGAATGGCTCTGCTTTTTGTTGGACTTTCATGAAGAAGCTTGCTTACTGGAGCTGAAAGTTGGGTTCTCTCCAGTTGAGAATCACCTTTTGGCAAAACTTTTTGACAACTACATGAGGGCAGCACTTTGAGATGTCACATATCACATTTAAATACATTAAAGTTAGACGTGGGTGCCTGTCCAGAGAAAGACAGAGAGAGAGACAGTGAGCAAGGATGCTAAACCTTTTTTATGACATAGATTTCTCTATCAGTCTGTTGAAACCTATGGATTTTATATGATTTACAGAGAAGTCAATTCTATTGAAATTGTTATCAAAATATTTTTTAAGTTCACAGACCCCAGATTAAGAACCCTTGCTATACAAAGTGTCCCCAAAGTCTTACTAAAACTTTAATCGACACCATCAAGTACCGTCTATTAAATAATAAACTATTAGTGTCTATAAATAACAGACTATTAAGTAGTCTATTAAATAGTATCTATTAAATATAAAAATAGTGTCTATGAAAACTTCATTAAGACTTTGGGGACATTTTACACAGACATACTGTATATATTTATATATGTCACACAAAATGTAGGATATATGTGCATATATGGATTGTGGGGGATGGTTTGCTATACACTTGAGTATACAGAAATCCTGATGTATAAATTCCTTCTACAGATGCAAATCTGCATAATAAAACGTCTCTGAGAGTTACCCGGGACACTTAAAGATTAAGTGACTAGAAGAGGGTCACATAACTAACGTGTCAGAGTCAGAACACCTACCCAAGTTTTCTTGGAATGTATGTGCATATATGAGGCAGCTAGGTGGTGCAATGGATAGATGGCTGAATCTGGATCAGGAACCCCTAGATTTAAATCTGACCTCAGATGTTTACTAGCAGTATGATCCTGAGCACAGAACTTAACCACTGTCTGATTCAGTTTCCTCATCTGTAAAATGGGGATAATAATAGCACTTATCTCCCAGAGTTGTTATGAGGATAAAATGAGAGAGTTATAAAGTACTTTGTAAACTTTAAAGCGCTACATAAATGCTAGCTATTATAGAAGTCTGTATAGTCTCATGCGTTCCCTGTATGTAGTACCTATTTGAATCGAATGCATTCAAATATAAGTAATTTCGTATGCAGCTGTCCAGAAGAAGTTTTGCTGGAGAGTAATCCTCAGTACCTAGGACAGCACCTGGCACCTACTAGGAACTTGGCATGTCAATAAACGTTCATTAAGTGCCTGCTAGCACTGAAGATACAAGGAAAAATAAGACAGTGCCTGTTTTTGAGGCACTTTCAAGGTTCAATGAGAGAGACAAAATATAAAGAAGTATGTCTAGATGAGTTATATACAAGATGAATTAGAAATAATGAATTAGAGGGAAGGCACCAGAATTAGGAGAGGTAGAAAAAGGCTTCAGGATTTTAGCTGGGATTTGAAGGTGGGCAGGGAAGCCAGGAAGCAGAGATAAGGAGGGAGAGCATTCCATACCTGGGGCACAGCCAGTGAAAATGCCAATAGTCCGGAGATAGCAGTGCTGATTAATTTGTTTCTAACTCCAAAACCAGCCCTCTATCCACTGCAACACACCAATAAAAGACACCATTCTATTTCTTTCAATGAATGTATTACATATACAGGCATGTATATATGTATATGCAACCTCCACCCAGGTTCTGTTTAAATGACCTAGCTATAGCATGAAAACAATCCTAGGTTCTTGTTGGTTTTTTGTCTTTCATAGTAATTTATTCTGCTAATCTTTTAAACAGATGCCAATTGACAAAGGGTAGGCCAGGCTACATATGTCTGCATTTTCCTTTTTCTTTTAAAAAGTACTTTACAGGGGACAGCTAGGTGGTGCAATGGATAGAACATCAGCCCTGAAGTCAGGGGGACCTGAGTTCAAATCTAGCCTCAGATGAAACACTAGACATTTTCTAGCTGTGTGACCCTGGGCAACTCACTTAACCCTAATTGCCTTTTTTAAAAAAAAAGAGTACTTTGCAGGACAGTCTTTTTAAATACATTTTAAAAATATTTAGTGGGAAATGACAAAAGAAAGGGCAGAAGCCATCCCTCCCCCTTTGCTCATGGAGTTTTCTGCCTTGGCTCCTCTTCCACTTCCTCTTTTCTTCTGCCTGTCCAAGAGCACCAGGATGAAAACTAGGCAGAAGGGTGAAGCCACTCTCAAGATCGTATTTGTAAAAACACCCAGGCTTGTCAGACAAAAACAAGAAGAAAGAAAAAGAAAAAACAAAATCAGCACCCAGATCTGAAAGGTCTCTTCAGACAAACAAGAGAAGGGGATTTCACTCTTTCCTCCCTCTCATCCCCAGTACCTGACCTACTCCCTGCGGTTCTAGAGTAGGGAATGCTTGAGCAGCATAGAAATGATCATAACAGTCCTGTCCTCATGAAGGTGACCCTAAGTTCTTGAAGATAATTCTACTGAACCACAAGTTCTGGCAGCTCCCACCACAGATTCCAGTACAGCCCTGGTTTCCAAATGAATGACTATTGTACAAATCCCAAGTAAAGGACATTCATCATCAAGGTGGTAGAAAACTCTAGGTGATCATCTACCTAGGTGCAGAGAGGAGCTCTCTATACCACCAGAAAGGGACATCCATGTGGAACAGAGGAGTATATATATATATGAATCCAAAGGGTTGTTAACTAAATGTTACCCACCCCTCTAACTCTTTCTCTGAGTCTCCCACTCAGATTAATTTGTCACCTTCCCAGCAAATGAGTCTCTACAGGAGACAAAGTATGAAGCAAAGAATCTTTCACAGGAGACAACTGATTTGACATTGGTCATGAAAAAATGTCTGAAGTAAATTAAAGAGGAAGAGAAAAGAGAAAAAAAAAATTAATCTCTGATCTAACTTAACCACCAAGCTTCAGTATTGAATGAAATCCTACAGATATTGAGAGTGCCTGTGGAATCTCTGACCTATGCATACCATTTTACACACTGAAGAGCAAAACCATTAAGCTTAGAGAGGGGACTGTGAGGAGTTATATTTGAAAAGATAACAGGATCCTGAAAAGATAACAGGATCCCAAAAAGCTGGATGGGACCTTAAAGGCCATCACAGCTAGCTAGCCCCTTCATTTTACAGGTAAGGAAGCTGTGACTCTGAGGTACCAAGAGACTTGCTTAGAGTCATATGACTAATATGAGGTGAGAATTGTCCCCAGGTCTATCCTGACTCCAAATCCAAATTGGAGAGAGGAAGATCTGGGGTTGAGGCAAGGCTCTGAAATATCCTTACTACCCAGTACCCCAGGCACCCAGGAGAGGAAGCTCTCTCACTGGGAGCTCCCCACACAGATGGATTCACAGGGACAAAATCAAAATCAAGATACAAAACCAAAACAAAGTTTCATTCAGTAACTTATCTGCCCACTCACATCTGTTATGAGGAATCAAGTCTCAAAGTAATCAATCTTCTCTCCAACCCACCTGAGAACCCCCATTTCCCAGAATGCTGCAGGACTTTCTTGCTAAAGAAGTGTGCCCACAAGACAGGCTTCTGTTGCCACAGTTTTGTTCATCTTTGAAACTATGTCCCCGCCTCAAAAGAAACTGAATGTCCCAGCAGAAGTTGGAAGTAACCACTTCTCCTAACAGCCCGACTAAGCCTCAAGGAAGCAGGCTCAGATTTCTAAATGGGGTGGGGTTTCTTCATTGGTCCTTAATGGGCACTTAGTAAATGCTTGCTTCCTTGGTTATATAAATGGAGAAGTTATACAAGATTGAGAACCAGAGGTCGTCTCATCCAAAGGTTCTTAACCTGTCTCATACATGCCTGGACCCCTTGGACAATCTAGTGAAACCTATGGTACTCTTCTCAAAATAACATTTTTTAAATACATAAAATACTAAGGAACTCAATTATATTGAAATAAATGTTAAATTTGTTTTTTACAAATTCAAGGATCTCTGATTAAAGATTCCTGATCTAACCCAACCTCTTCATTTTACAGATGAGAAAACTGAGGCTGAAATAGGTGAATTTATGATCACAGAGTGGTATAGTGCAGAGGTTCCCAAACTTATCTAGCCTACCATATGCTTTTCAAAAAAATTATTCAGTGCCCCCATGGAAATCTGCTTTCTTTAACCCTTTAATTTTTTTTAATTCTATTATTTCAAAAATATATAAAAATATCTTTAAATGATGCATTTTAAATTAAATAATTTATTGTAAATTTGTGAGGTTTTTCCTGCACTGAAATTTTGATGACACAATATTGCATCTAGTATCATACTGTAAATAAGTCATTACATATACATATTCCTGCTGGACTTCCCATCAATGTGAAACACACTTGCCTGCCAACACTTGCTTGTTAAGACCTGTTGGTGGACTTGACCACTAATTGGTTATAACTTACATTTTGTATTTGGAAAATACTGTAATCACTATGACTTTAACTCTGTTATACAATAGATGAAATATGTATGAATGGCTTTTCAAAATTTCCTTCTTTTCTTTCCTTATACTTCTACCCCTTCTTTATTTTTATCCAATGCCCCCTAATTGTACCTGAGCCTACTCTTGCCCCCCTGGATATTCCAGTGCCCCTCGGGTGGTAATATTACCCACTTTGGGAACCTATGGTAGTGGATAATACCAAATAGGTTAGAACCCAGGAAGGGAGATGCAGCTTAAAAATCTCACCTCCAACATTTTCTAGCTCATACAAGTTACTTAACCTCACTGTGCCTCAGTTTCCTCATCTGTAAAATGAGGGGGTTGGATTTGATAGACTCTAAGGTCCCTTCCAGTTCTGATTCCATCATCTTAATGGAGCTCATAAGTAGCAGAACCAGGATTTGAACCCAAAACCACTCACTGAAGATTTCAGAGGGCAAGGAAAGTGGCTCACTTCTATCCTGAACCCCAAATCAGCCCCATGCCCACCTTCCTAATCAGTGACTAGCTTACTTGAAAGTCTTGTATTAGTAATGTTTCCCCCAGGATTGTATGATATGTTCATAGCTGAACCGAAGAATCCACACAGATACAAACCAGCCTTCCTCTTAGAAATGGAAGGAGTATTCCCAGCTTCTTTCCAGGTCAGAAGGGCCAGCTTCTCCCTCCACTGCATGCCAATGAAATCACTTTCAATCTACAGTCTATGGTGGGACATAGACAATAAACAGCAGTTCATTGCAGAGAGAATGAGTACTTTCTAACGATCTCCTCAGCTCTATAAATATTCACTCTGATTTAAAGCTGGAAGAGCTATATTCTATCTCAGGAGAAAAAAGATCCATTGTGGAGATTTGCCTTTTCAGAGTCTTACAAGAGTTTGTTATTCTTTCTTCTAAGTATCTCTCATTTCAAGGCTACCTCTCCCAACAAAATTTCTCCAGGCAAAATTATTTTTTCTCTTGGGCAGCTAATTGTGTCTTCTTCATCTCCAAAGGCCCACTAGTTTTTGTTTTGGTTTGGTTTGGTTTGGTTTGGTTTGGTTTTGTGTCCCCAGGACACCCCACTGGTCAACCACCTTCATCTTGATAGAATCCTAATAAAGCTTCCCCCAGACTCAATACAGCCATTGCCCCTACCTAGCCACTGCACCCCCATCTGACTCAATATCCTAACTTCCTCCTATATGCCCCACCAGAACAACAGGTGTGTCCATGGACTCATATTTCTCACAGAAACAGTAGGCATGTCCATGTGATAGGATCCCAGCCACTGCCTCTAGCTAGCCACTGCCCCTAGACCTATTCCTCATATTTCCCACAGAAACAGCAGGTGTGTCCACCCACTCAACCACAACCCCATCCATCTAATCTCAGACAGGACCACAATAGTCAGCCAATCAGAAAGCAGCACCTTCAGGATGCCCAAGCAGGATGTGGACCTCATAACAATAGAAGGGACTTTCCCTGAGTAGACACCTGAGCAGTAATAGCAAAAACTGTTTGTTAGATAAACTTACTGCATAGGGAGGCTTATTATAATATCATTATCATACATATAGGCACCTCCAAATGGGTTTTTCTGTATGTATTATGGGATATTGCATGCACAGTTCCAACTAGGCTGAGACCCTTCCCCCTTACTATATCCCTTAACAAATTCCTTCTGCCTTTTTAATATTCATAATTTCTGTTGTATAATCAGCATCATTACACTATAAATTTGCCTGTGTTACTAAGTTGCTGGCTCCTCTTGAAATTCAGCCGGTTGGAGATATCTTTCCAAAAAATGCCTATACTTGGATTAAAGGTAATCTGACTGAATTCTTTGAGACAGCCCCACCACAACACACCATGAAACCACAACACTCTATAGCCTCTTCCTCCTCAGCCCTCCCCAACCATACAGATCACTTATCAAGAAAAATTGCCTTCCAGAGCACCTCACGGGACTGCCCTCCTTCCTCAAGTGACTAGATTAGCTAATATGACCAATGAATTCCTGATAATGGAAGAATGCTGGAGGAAACTCCCCCAACCTTCCTCCCTTAACCCCCCACCTTCACAAGTATCTCTAGTGAGTATTTGTGGCCTTACCTAAAAAGTGATTCATAGTGAATATTTAAGGTAAAACATGAGGGAAGCATGACAACCTGGTGGGCAGGAAAGGGAGGCACAATTAATCAGGCAGGCCTTCCTCAGTCCTCCAAATCCCACCAAATAGGCAGCTAGTCACTTTGCTGAGTTTAAGGCTGTGCCTGTGCCTATATGGGTCCTTATTCCCCCCAGTCTTTCTACCTTCCCAATATTGGATCCATATACATCTGATAGAATGGCCAAACCCTGGAAGCAAGCCAAAATGGTAGAGGCAGACAACCTAGCCAGAGGAGAAAGAAGGGCACTTACACTGACTTTAAGGCCATTCAGTATCCAAAGGTAAGCTGGGGAGGGGAAGATGATAAGGTGGGATGGCTTAGAACTTTTCCACATCAGTTCACTAAGTGAAGTCCTCTGGTCTTAAAATTCCTACAAAGGTGAAAAGTAAAATTTGATTATTAAAGAAGTGGAGAGGAGCCAGCAAGGAAAGATGCCATCCAGAAAATACAAAGGAGAAGCCCAACTCTCACCAACAGCCAAGCCAAACAGGATACCACTCAGCAGGGCGGGGAAGAAGGGGTAAGAGAGAAAACTTGATCCTTAGGAGGAAGCCTGTTACTAGACTAAGAAAATAGGGCTAAGGATGTGGACTAGATTTGCAATTGAAATGATTTAGGAAATTCCCTCTATCTGTGCAGCTCTGTACCTTCTCTGGAGCTTATATAATAGCATTAGGTCTGCCTAGATCAGAGGTGTCAAACTCCTCTCCCATGTACCTGCAAATGGGCCTAAACCAGATTAAAATATAATTTAGAGATATTTAACAAAATAAATTAAATATATAACAGATAACAATACTTTGAAATTTTCTAAGTTAATATGTGACCCACAGAAATCCATTTCTATTTGAGTTTGACACCTCTGGCTCACAGCAGTGAGAGGTCAATTGACTTGCTCATGGTCACACAAACAGTTATGTCAGACCCAGTCTTCTTGGTTTGGAGGCTAGCTTTCTAAGCATCACAGTGCCTGATGGTTTAGTAATAAGGACAAGAAGACATCCTAAGGACTTGTGAAATACTGAATGCCATTGCTAAACTCTTGCCTAAACCAAGGGAAGCAGAGAAGAGGGTAGTGTCAATTAACACAAACTTCTGAATAGTTCTTTTCTCTTTCTTCTCCCGAGTATTCTAGGCCCCTAGGAGGCCACCCTACTATGGCTCTGGTTCTGGCCCTTTCTGTATCTTGCAGATTCCACTGGGAAGTAACTTTTCCAAGGTTAGCACTCTGTATACATGCAAATTCACAAGGAAACAATTAAGAGCCCAAGGCTGTTAGTGAGGCTTGAGCAGAATATGGGAACGTTACAAGTATCCTCGTAACCAGGGTCCATGGCCTATGATGTCATTCTCTATGATCAGTCTTGGGAATGTCTGAGCTTCAGTCCCAGCCAGGAAGTTGGGACTCACAGCATAAACATTCAAGAAACACAAAGTGTCTCAAGCATGACAGCCAGGGTAGCTATATCAATGAAGACCAGGGCTTCATTGGGATGGGCCCTGAAGAAATAAGGTTACAGGCAGAGGTATGCTGGAACTTGCTTAACTAGGGGAGTAGATGGTTAAATTTTCGGTGTGAGCATTTCTGCCTCAGAAATAGGTAAAAGCTATAGATTACACTTGAGTTATTAATTTTTGTTTTTAGGGGTTTTTTAATTGTCTAAATTTAAGAAAGCAATGGAGAAAATGTTAATAATTCAGATTATTATGTATGTGTGTGCCTTTTTCTACTTGGAGAGCCAGTTGTCAAACATTTACTAGCACACTACTCACTTTGGGACAAGTGAAGATGTAGGGGAACAGCTTTCAGTTTATGAAGCTCACAACTCTTGTGTGTGTGTGTGTGTGTGTGTGTGTGTGTGTTTCATTGCCAGGGACACTGCCTAGCTGTGTGACCCTGAGCAAGTCACTTAACCTCTGCTTTCCTCAGTTTCCTCATCTGTAAAATGGGGATCAATAATCCTACTTCCCAGGGTTGTGGTGAGGATCAAATGAGATAATAATTGTAAAGCACTTAGCATGGTTCCTGACATATAGTAGGAGCTGTATAAATGTTAGCTACTACTGTTATTATTACTGGGAAACAAACAAATAGCCCATGCTTTGGAGGCTGTGTTCAGTTATAAGATTAATAGATTAAAAATTATATTTGTAAACATGATACTTGGGGATGCCATTGGGAAATGTTCAGTTAGTTGGGGGCTCAGTGGACATTTTGGGGCATTTTTATCATGCTTTATGTAAAAGGGATTTTTTTTCCTTCCTGAAAGCATCATGCTGGAAGCCTAACATGTTCCGACTAAATTCTGTTGAGGTGAATTAGTCCCTCAACTCTCCTGGCATAAAGAATGTGTTAAAGAAGTTACTTGTGTAGAAAGGGTCCACAGTCATAGATACAGATCCAGAAGGGACTTTTAACAACCATCATGTCTAAACTCCCTCACTTTAAAAATGAGGAAACTAAGCCTCAGAGAAGTTAAATGACTCGCTAACCAGTGTGAGAGGCAGGATTTGAACACAGGTTATTCCTGACTCCCAAATACAGAGCAATATGCACTCTACCTTACTGTCTCTTCCTGAGCCCAATGTAATCCAGAGCTGAGAAACTAAAACTTATTCAAAAATAGATTATACACTTCACATTTTGTTAGGGCAGCCAATCCCTGGGAACAAGCCAATCTCTGAAGGGAGGAAGCAGGTGGAAAATATGATACTGTGTGGGCACCCTGCGCCCAGGACATAACAATGCACTTAGAAATAGACTTTAGGGTATTCAGAACCATGGAAAGAAGTATGGGATCACAGGTTTAGATATGGAAAGGCTGTTAAAGTCCCTTTGTTTCATAGGTAGCCTTCAGAGATCATCTCACACAGCCCTTTGCTTTTAAACTCTCCACTTTCCATTTGCTTGCTTGGGACCCCAGGAAACATGATCCCCTACCCAGAAGAAAAGCTGATCATCAGAAAGCTTGTTGTCATCCTGATTAACTCAGCTTTGGATACTTAACCCCCTCAGTCTCCTCTTCTGATTGGTGGGCTGGAGGATGGGACACTAAACTCCTCCCAAAGTTTTTCTTTATATCTGAACTTTCCTAACTAATATTCCACTTTCCTACTGCATCTCTGCTTGGTTTGGACTCCACAAAACATGACGCCCACCCTGGAGGGCATCCCCTTGTGATTCCCTGTGTTGCCTTGCCCCAGTAGATTGTAAGCTCCTTGAGAGACCATTTTAAGGAGACTTATCTTGAGACTGTCCTTCTGTTTCTTGCCTTGTATCCCCACACTTAGCACAATGTCTGGCACATAGTAGATGCTTAATAAATGTTAGCTGAATTATTGAAACAAAGTTATAATTAAGTCATTGCATATAATTCTTTTTAAAAATTCTTCAGAGAAAGATGTTCACCAGCTTCTCCCAGGAGACTAATCCAGAGGATATGTATCACTAACAAAAAGGCTTTTTTAGGAAAACAAGTTTTTAGCTTCTTCCAAATGAAACCAAATCCATGAAAAAAACAGCAGTCAAAGCTATTGGCAGTTAGCTCAAAAAAAAAAAAACCTGTTGTTGTGCCAGAATTCAACTTTTCAGCTGGTTGCTATTAGGATATACAGCCACAGCCTTAGAAATTAAGATCACATGTTAGCACTGGTACGTCTTTATTCAGGAGTGTCAATGATAAACAGACCTTGAGTCACAGTTGCCTCTTAAAACCACATCTTCCCTTAAAGAAAAGTTTGTTTAACAAAAAGTGATCCAGTTGTTCAGAAACTCGTATCCATGTGTGCTTCAACATGGTACAGGGAGTTTGGGTGTTTATTTCAACGGTTGTGTAACCTCCCCGCCCCAAATTCAAATCAAACATTTTCAACTCATCAGACTATATGGTTTCCATCTGTACAAGTGTCAAATGTGCTATTCTCTCTATTACTCTCTTCCCAGCAAGAGGCTCATAGTTGTAAGTCTTTAAAGGAGTTTCTAGGAAAATAAGAAACTTTTATTTCATCCCCCTTTTCCCCAGACATCCTCATGGTATCTTTTGGGAACCAAGTGGTCTGTCCATTTCTCAAAATGGCAGGACCAAGATGGGACCCACTAATCTAACAACTGTTTCAGTGGGCCATGGACAAGTAGAATCACTTTCAAAATTCATTAAAAATGTACTTGTACCAAATAGCAGGAAAGGCCTACATTAAGTTACAGGGAGAAAAAATGTTTTAAAACAACATATGTAAAAAGTGCAGCTTGACAGAAACAGAAGATTTGAGGACAATTCACATGCTATGGCAATAGACTTGCATTTGTGCAAGTCTAGGAGACATCTCAGAGCCTGGTTTAGGGAAGAAGTGTTGTATCCCCTGTGAGGTGAAAATCATGGAATGGTCATTTGCCTAATACTGCAAATCTATTATCACAAATAATTCCTTATAGATTTTCCACTTGATGACCTACAAAAGATAAGAGTTCATATCCTTGATGACTTTTTTTTTCCTTAATGAATAGCTATCTCTCTGTTGGAGCTCTTCCCCAAACGTAATTCTAAATATCAGCTCCTTGATTTCTCCCATATTTATTTATTTTTCCTATCCAAAGCTCAATTAATTTCACTGGAGGCTTTCTTAACAATTTGAAAGGCTAAAAAGAACACATTTTATGGTTCAGACACACCTAGATTGGGTCCGTTTTGCTGGTTTATAATTAGTAATATCCACAGTCTGTGAAGGTCCCTCAGCTCTGTGGAGCAAAATTATTGGTACCATCATATCAAAAAGGGTTTCAAACACGTGGTCCACATTGTAGCCTATCTTTGCACTAATTTCAAAGCACATCTTTTCAGCAGCTGGCACCTCGTTTTCATCTAACATTCTGTATTTCAGAATCTTCTTATAAAGAGCCATGGCATCATCCAGGCAAACTCGTTTTAGGGCTCTGGCTGAGTCACAGCTGCTGATGGTCTTCCCAGGGTCATTCAGATCTTTTGCACCATCCTTCACATAGACCTCATCAGTGAGGTCAACCTTGTTCCCCATGATGGCAAAAAGACAGTCTGTGTTGGCTGTGTCTGTCAGAGATAAGAACCTGTCTTCCAGTTCGGTAAGGCTCTGCAGGTGGTTCACATCATAGGTAAGGATGATAGCAGCAGCTCCTTGGCGGTACATAGAGCCAAGACCATGGAATTGCTCCCTTCCTGGCAGAGAGAAAAAAAGTTAGGGAGAAGAAAAGAAACACCCAGTCAGACCCAAAAACACCCAGAGGGTACCACTGTTGTTTTTTCAAAATTTATTTATTTTTAGTTTTCAACATTTACTTCCACAAGATTTTGAGTTCCAAATTTTCACCCCATCTCTCTCCTCTCCCCACCCCAAGATGGCATGCATTCTGAATATCCTTTCCCCTAGTCTGCCCTCCCTTCTATCTCTCCCCTCCCCTTTCTCTTATTCCTCTCCCCTTCTACTTTCCTGTAGGGCAGGATAGACTTCTGTACCCCATTTCCTGTATTTCTTATTTCCCACTTTTATGTGAAAACATTTTTTAAAACATGTGTTTTTAAAACTTTGGGTTCCAAATTTTATCCCTTCCTCCCTCCCCACCCACCCAGAGGGTACCATTGTTAAACAGAAATCCTGCTGGGGAGTGGAAAGATGAAAGGAAACATTTCTCTTCGTGGTTGTTATAAAACCATCACAATGAGGCAGCCCTTACTTATATTCAAGAGCCCAAGGAATGACTTTTGCTATACTTTCCTCTTAAATCAATGAGATTGAATAAGCTGCCATAGATTATTTAGTAAAAGAATACCTTAAATAAAATGACCTACATCATCACAGATCTTGAGGTCCCTGGTCACTAAATCTATCTGGTAACATTTATCAAATGCTACAATAGATGTCTTCACTTCCTTTTCTCTCATTCTCTTCTTAACTCTGTACGGTCTGTCTTAGGACCTCATTATTTAACAGGAAATGCTGTCTCCAAATTCACTGAAGATCTAATTGTGAAATGCAATAGGCTTTTTCAAAACTCATCCTTCTTGACCTCTCAAGGTCAAGTCAATCATCTACTTCTCCTTGATACTGTCTTTCTTGGTTTTCATGATACTTCTCTCTCCTGGTTCTTCTCCCACCTGTCTGACTGCTCCTCCTCTGTCTCCTTTGCAGGATCTTCAGGTCATGCCCTCTAACTGTGAGGATCTTCAGGGGTGTGCTGGAGCCAGCCCAAATTGTTTCATGAGAGAATTATTACATTTCTTCAGTTTATTTATACTTTAGAAATCAGCAAATACCACAAATGAGAGCTTGCTTTATTATTTTGTTGCTTGCTTAGACTTTAAAAAGTGAATAATGCAAATAAAACTTAAATGTGTGCCCTGTACAATTTTTTTTTTCTTTCTGAGAGCTAGCTGTTAAACATTTGCCAGCACATTGCTAGACGTCCCTTGAGGTTCTATCCTAGACCCTCTTTTCCCTCTATTCTACTTTTCACTTGGTGATCTTAATTTCAATGCTAATCTTTATGCAAATGACTCTCAGATCTACTAGTCCAGTATTAAACCTTCCTCCAATCTCCAGTCTTACATCTCCAACTGTCTATTAGACTCCTCAAACTGGGGTCCCACAGACATTTTAAACTCAACATGTCCAAAGCTGAACCCATGATCTTTCCCCAAAAACTGTCTCCTCTTAACTTCCCCATTATTGTGGAGGTTACCACCACCATCCTCCCACTTACCCAGGCACCATCCTAGACTGCTTGCTCTCTCTCACCCTCAATATGTAATCAGTTGCCAAGTCCTGTCATTTCTGCCTTTATAACATCCCTCAAATATGATCATTTCTCTCCTTCCATCACCCTAAGACCCTTATCACCTTATGCCTGAACTACTGAAGTAGCCTGCTGGTTGGTTTCCCTGTCTCAAGTCTCTGCCCACTTCAACCTAACCTCCAGTCAGAAGTCAAATTAATTAATTCATAAAGCTCAAGTCCGACCCTGTCACCCTCTGCCCCCATTCAATTAGCTCCAGTAGCTCCTTATTGCCTCCAGGATCAAATACAGTATGAAATCTTCTCTTTGGTGTTTATAGTCTTTCATAACCTGGCCACTTCCTACCTTTCAATCAAGAAATTGACACAGCCACCCCAATCTTTAGCAACCACCACCCTGATCAATCAGCAGCCGTCAATGTTAAAGAAGAAAGAGCCTCTACCAACAAAAAAAAAAGTTATGACTTGCAGAAGTTTCAAATGATGGTTAGCATTTTTTTAAATGATGAAATATTTTAATTAAGGTATGTAAATTGGGGTTTTAAAAAATATAATACTATTGCACACTTAATAGACTACAGTATAGTATTTAAAAAATAACTTTTACACACACAGAGAAACCAAAAGATTCATGTGACTCATTTTATTGTGGTAGTGTGAAACCAAACCTTCAATATCTCCAAGGCATACCAGACTCTTATCAGAAATAGCTGTGGTAAAATATTTCTCTCAATCAACATTTTCCCTTTTTACCCTGGCTGCATTAATTTTGTTCAGGCAAACAACTTTTCAATTTTGATAATTAATCCTATTTTATTTTTCTGTGTGATCACCTCTCTTCTTTGCTAAAGAATTTCCATCCTAGCCATAACTATGAATGATATCTGATCTACTCTTCTAAATTTGAAAAAAAAATCCATTTCAAACTTAGCCTAATTATTGTCGACTATATTTCCAGGCTTAATAGAAGTCTTGTCAAATAGGGAGATTTTGCTTCAATTAATTTATGCCCTCTCATTTATTGAACACTTGGTTACAGACTTCAATTGTTTCTGATTCTTTTTTTTTTTAACCTGTATCAAATAGTTGTGATGATCGCTGCTTCCTAACCTAAATTTGAGGTTGGGAAGTACTGTTCTTGGGATCCAAATGGAGAGCTGGAAGGAGCCTCGCAGGTGATTTAGTTCAAAGCCCTTGCCTTCTTCATTCCTATGGTTTTCTTTCATTATTGCCTTGAAATTCTAGGTTTCTTGTTCTTCCAAAATTTACATTAAGTTGTTATTGTTCATTACTTCTTAAAATAATTTTGGAGTATTTTGTATTTATCTTTATACATTTTTGTATCTTCCCCAAAAAATGTAAGCTTCTTAAAGGAGCATTGCTTCTTCTCCTTGCAGCCACAGCACTTAGCCTAGTGCCTAGCACATAGTAGGCCTTGGCAAATATTTATTGAAATGAATTGTCTTAGGGGAGGAGCATATTGGGAAACTTAGTTGAAATAAGAACAAAAGATTTCAATGAAAAAACTTAAATTGGAAAAATAAAAATTAATTGTCTCTCAAGTAGACAGTAAGTTCTTACAGGTCAGGGATCATATCTTATACTTCTTTGTATTATGATAGTGCCTGGGCCAATGACTTGCAAGCCATGTCAACTCTAGCATTATTAAATGTATTGATTTTCTTTTCATATATTTAGTTTCTTTAACTAAATCATGAGCTTCTAAAAAGTAGTTTTGTCAACTGTGCATACCTTTTGTTGCAGAAATACCACTACTAGGTCTGTATCCCAAAGAGATTTAAAAAAAAAAAAAGGAAAAGGACCTATGTGTACAAAAAAAAATTTTATCGTAACTCTTTTTGTTGTGGAAAAGAACTGGAAATTGAAGGAATGTCCTTCAACTGAGGAATGCCTGAACAAGTTGTGGTATATGATTGTGATGGAATACTATTATTGTGCTATAAGAAATGAGGAGCAGGATGCTTGCAGAAAAACCTGGAAAGGTTTATATGAACTAATGCAAAGTGAAGTGAGCAGACCCAGGAGAACAGTATACACAGTAACAACAACATCATATGATGATCAACGTGAATGATTTAGCAGTATCATGATCTAAGACAATTCCAAAGGACTCTTGATGAAAAGTACTATTCACTTCCAGAGACTGAAGGGAGTCTGCATGCAGATTGAAAGATGCTATTTTTTACTTTATTTTTCTTGGTGTTTTTTTTGGGGGAGGGGGAGCAATAGGGAGGTAAGACAATAGTGCACTAGGCTAGGTTAATGGTAACAGAGAATTGGGAGATTGGGCATAGGCAATAATGAAAGGCCAGTTGATAGGATCATAGCCTCAGGCAAATGCCAGAGATTTGGCAAAGTGGGAAAGCCCAGGGCTTTTTTTTTGAGGTCCAGATCCCAAAGCTATGGTCTTTTCCTTTTAAGGGTGCATATCCTATTCCTATCACCCCCCAAAAATCCTAGTAGAACATTCTACGTGTAGTAGTCAGTCAGCTAACATTTATTAAGCACCTACTCTGTGTCATTCGCTGTGCTAAGTGCTGAAGGTACAAAGAAAGACAAAAAAAAAATCAGTCCCTGGTCACAGGGAGCATTGTTATAGAGGAGACAACATGTTAACAACTATGTACAAAGAAGATCTATATAAGACAAATTGGGAGTAGTCTCAGAGGAAAGGCATTAAGATTAAGAAGGGCTGGGAAAGGCTTCTCGCAGAAGGTGGGAAGTTAGCTAAGGTTTGAAGGAAGCCAGGAAAGTCAGGAGGTGGCAGTGTGGAGGGAGAGTTCCAGGCATCAGGGGCAGCCAGTAAAAATGTACTGAGTTGAGAGATGAAGGATTGTGTGGGAGTGATGAGGATGGGATCTGGACCCTGGAAAAACCCTGGACTTTCCCACAAGGCCAAATATCTGGTGTTTGCCTGAGGCTATAGTCCTATCAACTGGCCTTTTGTTATTGCCAATGCCCAATCTACCTCCAGATGCCCCCACCCCCATTTCCTACCTGGTCCAGGTACCAGGAGTTCTGTTCACCCCAGCTTACTGTCCACTCCCATCCAGGTCTTACTTAGACCTCTCCTCCAGTCACCCCAAACTATTTGGCCACTCCTAGATCCCTCCCACAGTCTTTCTGTATATAAGGTCCATTTTGTCTCTGTTAAGGTGCTCAGATTCTTAAAATCTAGCCACTCCTCAAATTCTTAGCTAATACCTCAGTAATGTTCAGATTCCTTAAGAGTCTGGCCAATATGGTGGATAGTCTAATAACCCCTGTCTTTGGCTCAAAGAAAGCTTGGGTTGAATTCACTGAGGCAGGACCCACATGTTGTGATTTCGGGGTCCCAGCACCCCTAAAGCCGAACAGGAGGATCAGCAAGAAAGCTAGTAGCACCTGATCCCAGAATACAATGGAAAGAAATA